CCTTCGTTATTTATTGTTAGGTGCCATCCAATTGACTCCAGCTCATAGCGATCCTATGCATAACAGAACAAGACACCATCCTGTCCTATGCCATCTTTACGATTGTTGTTATGCTTGAGCCCATTGCTATTGCCACTATGCCAGTCTCGTTGGGGGTCTTCCTCTTTTTCACTGACCCTCCACTTTACTAAGTGTAATGTTCTCCAAGGACTGGTTCCTCCTGATAATATGTCTAAAGTATGAGAGATGAAGTCTGGCCATCCTGGCTTCCATGAAGCATTCTGACTGTACTTCTTCCAACACAGATTTGTTTATTCTTCTGGCAGTCCATGGTACATTTAATATTCTTCTTTAACACCATAGCTCAAATTCATCAATTCTACAGCCTTTCTTATGCATTGTCTAACTTTCACATGCATATGAAGCTACTGAAAATACCAAGGCTTGGGTCAGGCACACCTTAGTACTCAAACTGATATCGTTGCTCTTGAACAATTTAAAGAGGTCTTATACATCAGATTTGCCTAATGTAATACGTCATGTGTTTTCTTAACTGTTGCTTCCATAAATGTTGATTGTGGATGCAGCAAAATGAAGTCTTTGATAACTTTAATCTTTTCTCCATTGATCATGATTTTAGTTACTGGTCCAGTTGTGAGGGTTTTTGTTTTCTTCATATTGAAGTGCAACCCATACCAAAGGCTGTGGTCTTTGATCTTTATCAGTAAGTACTTTTAAGTCCTCTTCACATTCAGCAAGCAAGCTTGTATCATCTGCATCTCATACGTCATTCATGAGTTTTCCTCCAGTCCTGATGCCACATTCCTCTTCATACAATCTAGCTTCTCAGATTATTTGCTTAGTATACAGATTTAATAAGTATGGTGAAAGGATACAACTTTGGCACACTCATGATTTTAAACCATTCTTTGTTCTGTTCTAACAACTATCTCTGTCATTGTACAGGTTCCTCATGAGCACAGTGAAGTATTCTGGAATACCCATTCTTCACAATGTTATCCATAGCTTGTCATGATCCACACAGTCAAAAACTTTCAGCCAAGATCCACCTGATGGCAGCAATGATACCCTTCATTTCATTTTCTCTTCTGAATCTGGCAATTTCTGTTAGTTCCCTGTCGATGTACCATTGTAGCTGTTTTAAAATTATCTTTATTGTTTGACGATTTCCACAATCTGTTGGGTTGCCTCTCTGGAATAGGCACAGAATGGATCTCTTCCAGTCTATTGGCCAGGTAACTGTCTTCCAAATTTCTTGGCATAGATAAGTGAGTGCCTCCAGTACTGCATCAGTTTGTTGAAAATTTTCAATTTGCATCCCATTGATTCCTAGGGCCTTAGTTTTTGCCAATGCCTTCAGTGCAGCTTGGACTTCTTCCTTCAGTACCATAGGTTCTTGGTCATATGCTACATCTTGAAATGGTTGAACATCAATCATTTATTTTTGGTACAGTGACTCTGGGTATACCTTTCATCTTATTTTGATGCTTTCTGTCTCATTCAATATTTAGCCCATAGAATCCTTCAGTACAGTAATACAATATTTGAATTTTTTTCTTTAGTTCTTTCAGCTTGAGAAATGCTAGGATGTTCTTCCCTTTGGGTTTTCTAATGTCAGGTCTTTACACATTTCATTATAATACTTGACTTTGTCTTCTTGAGTTGACCATTGAAATTTGCAGTTCAACATTTTTACTTCCTGATTTCTTCCATTTGCTTTAGCATCTCTACACCTTTTTTATATTGTCGGAAAAATGTATTTGCAGTGAATATGTCATTGGTCTTATAAAATTTTATCATGTGATCTCCAGCTTCATTACTAGAGAAAATAAAGAATAATATTGACTTCAAGATTCAAGGGACTTCATATTCTTTGTTCTGAGAAATGTTCCTTAAAGTTTTTTAATTATAACAAATACAATTATTTTCTACTATAACTTAGTAAGTTTTTGTGTAAATAAAACAAGTTTCACAATACTGACCTATATGCAATGTGTTCTGATGTTTTCTGGAGTCCTAGTGTGGTGCTAGAGGGTAAGTACTAAACTGCTAATTTCTAGGTTGGTAATTCAAAACTCACTAGTCACTCCTTGGAAACCCTGCATAGGGCTGCTATGTGTCGGAACCAACTCAGTGGCACTTCATGACAACAACAACTGATGTTTTCTATACTACAACATTTTTGTTTTTAAATTCTGGTTGTGACTTAATAATTTGATTTCACCTTCCAGTCATCGGTTATGACTGGAAGTTTAAAAACTAGTCTAATGGATAACCTGAAGTGCCTACTAGAATATAGCTTGTTTGAAGTCCTGGGTGAGTAGGGTTTCAGAGAGTGGTGAGGTCTGAACCTCAAGGCATTCAAATGCAAATATTCTGGTTTATGGCAGTCTACAAAAGACATTTTAAGAATAAATTATCACACTTATTATTTGAAGAGATATGACATTTCTCAAGTTGAATGCTTTAGTCTGGGTGGTCCATGGGTATGAAGAAAGGAGAGATTGGAGTGTCTAGTTTTCACAGACTGGATGCATATGAAAGGTATATTAATTGCATTACAAGACTTATACTTAAGATGAGTCAGCAATTTGGATGCTTAAATTTGTCTTTTACAAATTCCTTATCTCAAGCATTGTTGCTTTTGCTAAGCTTCATACCCATGGACCACCCAGCCTTAAGCATTCAACTTGAGAAATGTCATACCTGTATTCACACTACTCTAATAGTTTTCTAAACTGGTATCCTTGCCACTAGTTTCTTTTGTCCTATTTCTATCAACGATAAATCTCTTCAAATAATTGTGATCTTGGGGAAGCTTGAACATATCCCACCTGAATTTAGAGACCATCTCACGAACAGATTTGATGCATTAGACACTAATAACCAAAGACCAGAGGAGCTGTGGGATGTCATCAAGAACATGACAAAGGAGCTGTGGGATGAAATCAAGCAAAGGTCATTTTAAAAGCACAGGAAAGAAAGAAAAGACCAAAAATGGATACCAGAAGAGACTCTGAAATTTGCTCTCCAGCGTAGAGATGTTAAAGCGAATTAAAAAAGAAAAAAAGTCAAAGAGTGGAACAGAAAATTTCCAAGGGTAGCTCGAGAAGACAAGTCAAGTATTTGAATGAAATGTGCAAAGAACTAGAGTTAGAAAACCAAAAGGGAAGGACATGCTCAGCATTTCTCAAGCTGAAGGAACTGACTTGCAATATTGAAGCATTCTATGGGCAAAACATTGAATGCTGCAGAAAACATCAAAAGGAGATGGAAGGTGATATACAGAGTCACTGTACCAAAAAGAAATGGTTGATGTTCAACCATTTCAAGAGGTAGCATGATCAAGAAACTGGTGGTGAAGGAAGAAGTCCAAACTGCACTGAGGGCACTGGCAAAAAACAATGCTCCAGGAATAGATGGAATATAAATTGAATTATTTCAACAAACTAATGCAGCACTGAAGTCGCTCACTCGTCTATGCCAAGAAATGTGGAAGACAGCTACCTGGCTAACTGACGAAGAGAACCATATCTGTGCACATTCCAAAGAGAGGTGACCCAATGGAATGTGGGAAGTATTCAACAATATCATTACTATCACATCAAATAAAGTTTTGCTGAAGATAATTTAAAAATGACTGCAACAGTACATTGGCAGGGAACTGCCAGAACCTCAAGCCAGATCCAGAAGTAAACACGGAACTTGGAATATCCTTGCTGACATCAGATGGCTCTTAGCTGAAAGCATAGAATTCAGAATGATGTCTACTCATGCTATATTGACTATGCAAAAACTTTCAACTGTGTGGATTATGACAAGCTATGAATAACACTGTGATGAATGGATATTCAAGAACACTTGATTGAGCTCATGAGGCACTAGTTTGAACAGAACTAGGGGATACTGAATGGTTTAAAATCAGGAAAGGTAAGGGCCAGATTATATTCTTTCACTATATATATTCAATCTGTATGCTGAGCAAATAATCTGAGAAACTGAATTATATGAAGACGAATGTGGCATCAGGATTGGAGGAAGATTTGTTAATAACCTGTGATATGCAGATGACACAACCTTGCTTTCTGAAAGTGAAGAGGATTTATAATATGAACTGCTAAAGATCAAAGACCACAGCCTTCAGTATGGATTGTTCCTCAATTTCAAAAAAACAAAAATCCTCACAACAGGACCAATAAATAACATCCTGATAAATGTAGAAAACATCAAAGTTGTCAGACTTCATTTTGTTTGGATTTACAATCAACACTCATGAAAGCAGCAGTCAAGAAATCAAATGACATATTGCAATAGGTAAATGCCTCATTTGCATGTAAAAGTTGGACATGACTAGGGAAGACCAAAAAAGAACTGATGCATTTGAGTTATGGTGTTGGAGAGGAATACTGAAACTACCAGAGCAAACAAATCTGTGTTGGAAGAAGTACAGCCAGAACACTCCTTAGAAGCCAGGATGGCAAGACTGTCTCTCATACTTCGCATACTTTGAACATATTATTAGGAGGGACCAGTCCTTGGAGAAGAGCATCACTCTTAGTAAAGTGGAGGGTCAGTAAAAAAGAGGAAGACCACCAATGAGATGGATTGGCACAGTGGCAACAGCAATGGGCCCAAGTATAAGAACAATCGTAAAGATGGTGCAGGAATGGGCAGTGTTTTGTAATGTTGTGCACAGGGTGGCTATGAGTCAGAACTGACTCAATAGCACCTAACAACAACAACAATACATCTTTGTCATTAGGCTCATAAAGGCTGAAGCATGAAACTGACTCACACTTGAGCTGGAAATAAATATAGAAGTAAAAATAAAATTTCAACCCAATTTATGTCTTATCAGCTCTGCCATGTAATTAGATACTGCAAGTAGAACAAAAAATATATTCATTATTAGGAGGATTTTCTTAAAAATAAGTAAATGCCTGAAGCACAATAATTTTGAACCATTGTGTGTTACTCACTGTCTATTTCTTGCTGTAAAATGTCTCTTCCTGATTCCAGGATTTGCCACAATTCAAGATATGCATATCCCACTTCTTGACATTCTTTCTTTTCTTCATCCATAGGATCACTTACTACTGTAAACTTTAAACTAAAGTTTTTAAAGGATACAAATTTCATTTAATGGCATATTACTGATACCCTTACTCTTTAAAATTAAGGATCAAAGCAATCATAAATGATACTGTCTTGGCCTCCATTTTACAAGGCTACAATGGCATAAAAGTGAGAAATCTATGTGTTGTGAAGGACTAATCAGCCATGAGAAGTGGGAACTAAAACTCTTGAGGTAATGTAGTTGATCAAGTTGTCTCAAACTGTCAAGGTATCATTCCTAGTATGATTGCTTACAGTTTTGTTGAAAAGATTTCTTATGGTTTTCTGGTGTGTAAAAGAAATTTGAGGAAGAGGTTTTAGACTTAAAAAGTTGCTATCAATATAGTCTCCTTATGGGAAACAGAAGGAATGCAGAATTACAATCCAATATAAACACTGTGTTCCTTGAAGTTGCTGTGAGGCTTGAAAAGTGCTCAGAGCAGAGCTTCACAGGCAGTGAGCAGTCAGTGAAAATTACCATGACTATTGTACGTTCGCCTGCAGGTCTGCCCGCCAAGTGTGCCTGGAAAACCAGACACCCATTGCAGCACTCCTGGTCAACCATCACCCCGCTGCTAATCCTGCTCCAGCACCGAGGTTGTGTTCTGTGTCCCAGCTTGGGATTCCTGCCTTCTGGAGCCATACGCTGATCTTGGTTCACCTGGCCTGTACTTGGGACTCCCCTATCTCAACAATCATGAGCCATTTCCTTGATGTTAACTTGTGTCTCTCTCTCTACACATATTTACAAGCAGCACTAGTTTTGTTTCTCTAGAGAACCAGCCTAAGACAGCTGCAGAAAGGAAAGCTTACAGAATGTCTCTGAGGCTTTGGGGTGTGAAGGAATTTCTGTTCTTCCTGAGCTGGCTGTGGGAAGTGGCCGACAACCCATTATCAAATACAATCTGTTTAAGTGCCAGCAATTTAGCTATCAGAAGTACATGAGGTATTCAAGAAAAGCTGGCATCTCAACATGTAAATTTAGGCACCTGAAGGAATTAAGCCCTGCCTGGCTGGAGTCATTCCTGGGTCACATGCCTTCAGATTTTTAACTATCGAGCCCAGTTAAGTAATATCTCATAGATTATAGAGCTAGTAAGTGGACAGATCAAGATTCAAAACCAACTCTGATGACAAAGCTAGTGTTCTGTTCACTACACCAGACTGGCAAAAAAAGGCAAAGGCAAAAACAATTGAACCCTGAGGTGGTCCAGGCTAAAACAGGAGGAAATAAAGGAGGGGACAGTTGTAGGGTTGCTGGGTGGGAGATGGGGGACTGGAAGCATAGGAGCCGAACTAACAAATGCAGAAAAGGGAAAAAACAAATCACTTTGACTGATTTAAGTTTCTAAAGTTATGTGGGCATTATATCTATAAGTCCACAGTAATAAAGCAGTCAGAGCACTGTTCTACTGGCTTCTTTTGCTGTCCTTTTAAAAACTAACTGGAGACTAAGTAAATGCAGATTAAACAAGTTTCTTGGGTCTGTAGAATAATGAATGAAAACATCAGCCTCCACAGGCTAGATAAAGCAAAACAGAACAAATACAGAAAAGGGAAAAAACAAATCACTTTGAATTTCTAAAGTTATGTAGGCATTATATTTGAATTTGAGTTTTTTAGTATAAACATGCCCATGTATTTTATCTAGAAACTCTAAAACTTCTCAGATAATAGAAGTGATAAGGACAATAGAGTTTCCTAAAATATTAAAGCAAACCACTTCAGGTTTGCCAAAGTAAAAACATTCCTGTAAAAAAAAAACTAGAAACCGAAATATAAATGAATAACATAAAGACATAATATTTGGTGGGCTAACAATAGCACTGTGTGTATAAGAAACAAATCAGATTATTTTAAATGTCTAAGCATTTTATATTTAATTAAGTTACTGCCACAAAAGAGGACCCCAGGGAATGGCATGGATGAGAACTGAAGTAAACCTATGAAATTATATAATTATATAATTGATCAAGCAGTTACAAACATAAATTGAACTAAAGTAGATAGGAAATTAAGGATAAATTACATGAAAGAAGGTATTTAAAAGTTGCTTGAAAGAAGTTATTAAAATACTGAGCATCAGTATAAAACCAAACTCAAATTATAGCATTCCTGTCTAAATATCTGCTTTCAAAATGCAAGAACTGTTACTTACTGTCCTTGATCAGGATCGTGTCCATTCAACTTGGTGAACAGAAATTGCCTTCGGCCCTTTTGCTCCAATGGGTCCAGGTCTATCACTGTGTTAAGGAAAAGAACAAAAAAGCAAAGTCATTGGTTTGTGAAACATAAGATGGAAATGGGGAGCCAGAGGGAAGAGGCAGGTGGCAGAGGCCATGTCACCAAAGGGCATGAAGGGCTCATTGTTAAGCAAGGCCACAATGGGTCTCCCCTTGGAAGGCAAGGCCCTAGGAGGGATCTCATGTGGGGACTCTGCAGTTTCTGTCTCTTTGTTTTAATCAGCTTATTTTTAATTTTCTTGATTTTATAATAAAAGTTTTCAGTAGATTCTTAGTAAGAATTATATTAGAGATTTGAAACTTGTTTTTAGACACCTTCACACCATATTCAATCATGCACAAACCTAAAGAATGCTTTCACACTAACAATAAGTTTCACCACTAGGAAAAGCCAGCTAAAGTTTTTGCCAGTTCAAGTTTAAGATTACATTCAACATTCTGTGTAGTTTCAGTCAGGGACATTAAGACCTTTAGAAAATTAGCTAAAAATGCAATTAAGGGCTAAGGGAATAGTAATAGATCATAAACAGAAATTTTACTAGATGTTTTGTATAAAGAAGTTGTTATAAGGAAGTTGTTCCGTTTCTTCTTAACTACAAAACTTTAAATGCTTTTTTTATGCCTCTTGTTTTTCTTGTTTAATCAATCATGAGAAACAACTGTGTTGTCAGTTACCATAGTAAATAATGTTTAGGTACATGTTGTGATTAGGGAATCTATAGAAAATAATAGGTGAAGGTAGAAATAGGAGTTAAGATTTAGAATTATGTTTTAAGGTTACCTGACATTTTAAGATGTCAGAAAGATTAAGGTGTTTTAACAAGATCATTTGTGTAATGCTTCAAAGAAATTGATTATTATGAGATCATTGGGTATTGCAATGGTATATAAGGAGCTAGATAATTGTGTAAAATCATCATTAAAATCATCATCATCATCATCATCAGAATTTAGCACAAATCATCGACTCCATGTGATTTCTTTCTTCAGCCAACTCCACACATCTCTTCGTGAGCCCCCCTAATAAGTGTGTCGGGGCTGGCCCCCAGCAGGCAGGATAACTGTTGTGGCAAGGAAGGGATTGCAGTCGCTGAGATGGAGCTGAGTATATCGTTTGTTGAATGTAAAGCTGATGATCTTGTCTATTGGTCTCCACTCAAATCACAGTAAAAGGTTAAAAAAGAAAAGAAAAAGGCAAGCCATATTTTTTTAAAAAAAAAAGCAAACTCTAATACAGTTGCTATCTGGGTACTAAGCCTTTCATGTTATTACTGTTATTGTGTGGTGTTCAATCTGACCCAACTCATAGTATAGGGTTTCTGAGAGCAATTGGTAGGTGTGAAATCTGACCTTGCAATTAGCACTCCAGTGCTTATCCTACAGTGCCACACCAGTGCACTCATAGGCAGTAAAAACTGTGATAAAAATGAGGTTGACAAACTATGGCACATGAGTTAGCCGCCTGTTTTAGCAAATAAAGTTTTACTGGAACACAGCCACATCCATTTATTTACGTATGATGTTTTTGAGTTACAGTGACAGATAATATGATTGTGACAAAGACTGTATTGTCCCAAAAGCTTAAATATGTACTAATTTGCCAGGAGTCCTGGTGTGGCACTATAGGATAAGCATTGGACTGCTAGCCACAAAGTTGGCAGTTCAAACCCACCAGCCACTCTTTGAGTAGAACTGACTTGTACTTAACAAAAACAATATCGCATCTTTTAAGAAAAAAGTTTACTGATTTTTAAAATTAGCATGGAAAGTTGTTATGCTATTTGCCAACAAAAATGTGCTCTCACCCCTCCACAGCTGGAAGAGTTCCAGGAGGTTGACCTTTACCTGGAAATTTGGATTTGTGGCAGGTTTTATTCCAGGTACTTTTCTCAATGAGATAGACTGGCATAATGGTGAAAGCAACAGGCTCAGGCGTAGCAACAATTGTGAGGTTGGCCTAGGATCGGGCAGTGTTTTGTTCTGTTGTGCACAGGGTTGCTAGGAGTTGGAACTGACTGGATGGCAGCTAACAACAACAATCTCAACATCCAACACCACCACCATAATTCAAATGCATCCATTCTTTTACAGTAGTCACTGTCCTACTTTCACATATCAGGAGCTCTGGTAGCACAGTGGTTACAAACTGGGCTGCTAATCTAACGGTCAGCAATTTGAAACTACCAGCAGTTCCACAGGAGAGAGATGAGGCTTTCTGCTCCCATAAATATTCACAGCCTCAGAAGCCCTATGCAGGGTCGCTATGAGTCAGAACCGACTCCACAGCACACCACCACCACCACTTTCACATGCACATGAGCCTTTTGAAAATATCATGGTGTGGGTCAGACACACCTTTGTCCTCAAACTGACATCTTTTTTGTTGTTTTATTAATGTTTTGTTGTGAATTATGTAATAGTTTGCATGGGAGAACATTAGCTTTACATTCATCCTTTCGTATATTGTTTCAATGCCACGGTTACAATCCCCTCCATGCATCATCAACCAACCAAAGGGTATACCCTGCAAGCCTGGCCCCCCACCCCTGGTCGCAGCACACTGCCCTTCTCCCTCTCTGGGTCTAGAGTCCCCAGCTGCTCCATCTCTCCACGCCATCATCTCTGCCTCCATCTCTGGTATCACTATTTCTCTGGGTAGGGTCCCGCATTCTGCTCTTCTCCCTTGATGGTCCCAGGGACCTCTGCTCCTGGACTGCAAAGCCAATCACTCCACTCCTTTTGCTACAAAACGTCTACCTTTACATTTCCAACCCACACAATCAGTCCTGATAACAATTACTCACTATTGTACCACAAGGGACGTATCCCCATCTCCTTTCATCAGCCCTGCCCAGTCTGATTGGGTACTACTCAGTGGAGAGTCTACCTTCCTCTGCACCCTCTGGATCTAG